CTGCGGGGGCCCACCTTGGGGACACGCCCGCCGAGGGCTCACAGGCGGCAGCGCCTCCGGCGTCGCGGGTGGTGCCGGTTCCTGGGAGCGCGTGCTTCGGGAGACGAGACGGAGACTGCCACGGTCCCCTCGCACCCCCGCGCCACCTACTTCGGTTTCCCGAGATGTGCAAAGGTCTCCCTGAGGGGCCAGCAGGTGGCGCGGCAGTTAGGGGCGCTGGCTCCCCCATGGGAGCACTTGACGGCAGTTCAAGTCCCGGACCTGCCGGCTTGCTTTCTCACTGTCCCTGTCTCTCAATCTGTCCCTTTCTGGTCAAATTAAAATAAAGTTATATGATTCATTTGTTTGAAAAGAAAGTCTCCCTGAGAACTTGAGCAGCACCCCCAAAGCCATATGAACAGCCCCAGGACAGGGCTGCCTGAGTGAGGAGGGAGGCTGTGTGCTCGCGCAGGACTGTCTTCTGGAAAGAAACAAAGCGAAGGCGCGGTCCAGGGTAACAGCAGAACCCTGAGCGGGGTCATGGCGCCCCTTCTGCACTTGCCGGCTGTGCGGCTTGGAGGAGTGAGGGACTCCCCTGCTCCGGCTGCCCCCTGGCCCAGCACTGCCCCGGGCTAGCACGTGAAGTGCCTGAGAAACACTCCAGCTTAGAACTTCGCAGACCTCGCCGTCCTCCTTATTGCAAGGGGGCGGAAGGAGACAGAAAACTCCGTTTTCTGGTTAGGCCTTGGAGAGGCCACCAGGTGGAGGCTGGTTTAGGCCCCTGGAGGTCTGAATGAGGTCCCTCTGGTACCAACAGTGCCCCCTGCCCTACACAGGGTAAGGAAGCGCTGCTGTTTCCAGGAACTCGTCTGGTCTCCCGACCTCTCTCAGAGACCTTTTGCTTGGTGTTCTCTTTCTATAGCCATGTGGGAGACGGCAGCAAGGCCAGGTGAGCGCTCCAGTCCAGGCCCACAGCTCGCTCCTGTTCTGCTTGCTGTTACTATTACTCATGAGAGCTTCTGCGTGGGGTGGAAGGGAGAGCGGGCTGTGGGGGGGAGGAGGAAGGGGCGGGGAGAGACAGTGGGAGAGAGACCTCCTCCACGCCCGGCTCACCTGCCATCCCTTGTGTCTCAGGCTGCCAGGGCTGGGGACAGAACCGCAGGCCGTGTGGGCTCCAGCTTCTCCGGAGGCTGGTTACTGTGAGCACACAGCGGCCCAGACAGCAGATGGTCCTGAACACCCATTTACGGATCCAAACGGAGAGACGTGGGCGTTACTTAGCTGCCCAAGGCCTTGAGTTGGAAGTAAGGGCCGCCAACATCTTCTGACCCTTTGCCAACCACGACACTGGAGAGAGAAAATAACACATACGGTTATTAACCCGCAGCTCACACGTAAGCACCGGGCGTTTAAAAGAAATAGAAAAGGAGGAAAATGCAGGGTAACCTGGTTGGGGCTGGAGTTGGGGGAGGTGGCTGGTTTCTTGCAAGTAAATCATTTCCGTTCTATAAAACTTTTGCACACAGTTCTTTTTTGGTGGAACCTTAGGCAAAACACCACCATTAGCGGACTATTCGGATTGCTTCCATTGTTTCCCACTCAGTATTGACTGTCTCGGAACTGGCAGATGGTATGGAACTGTCGTAAATGACTTCTCGGCTTGGGTCTGCATGTTTGAGAGTGTTCTAGGACTCTTGGCCTTTCCCCATTCTGATGCTTCTGACCTGGCACATAGTAGGTGCTCCATAGATGGCTGTGGGGTGAGTGCATGAGTCATTCATTAGCCACCGATCTTCCGAGGCCGTGGGTAACCTATACCCCGCAATTACCCGGAGTGCTCGAGTTCGTTCATCTGGAATAGCCAACGAGCAGCAGACACCAGGTCTGCTCACACCGCGTGAAGAACTGCCCCGCTTCCCCACTTGGCTGCCACGGACTGGCCAGCCAGGGGAGACCCTGGGCAGCTAGGCCTCACCTCGAACTGACCTCGCCTACCCGGCATCAACCCCAAAGATGCTGGGACTGCATCCTGGTGGGTTACCTTGGCAACCTCACAATGTCATCTGTTAGAATGTCCTAGGGCTGCAGCTTTTAATTCTATCACAGCGGTCTCCTCGGGGGTCATGTAATAGCGCTGCTTTTCCTCGCTCGCACTCCCTCCCCTGTGATTTAGCACTAAGTAGTCGGGGAGGGAGCCGAACACGGCGCAGCCACGCTATTACCGGATGACAGGTCACAGATGGCCCCGGAGCCGGGGTCCCCAGCGTTCGCAGTCGATAGAGCGCAGGGCCCAAGTTAATGGGGAAGCTGGTTCTCCTCACACCCCTGTGGAAAGGAGAGGAGTTAAGCTGGCCCAGGCTCGTGTAAGAGGCAGCCAGGGCCAGACCGCGCAATTCCTGAACAAGCTCAGTTAGAGGAGCCCCCCGCCGGAGCCATTCTGTCCTGGCCTCAGCGGCACCGCCCCCCTGGAGATGATGAGCAGCCCAAGCAATTTCGCTGCACCTCGCTACACTGGGGCCGGAGGGAAGAATCCCAGCTGACCTATTCCGCCCACCCCAACCCTGCAACTTCACCTCGCTCAGGCTCACCCTGCTCCTACATCAGCTCCGAGTAACCCCGTGCCCACTTAGCCTGCAGGGAGGACGACAACGTACAGCCGAGAACGCTGGACTGCAAAGAGCCGTGGTCCTGCGAGTTCTTCCAGGGACGGCAGAACCCAGCTCTTACACCCGCCAGCGAGCAGCCGCGTTTCAGGGCTGGCAGAGAGAAGAATCCCACCCGCGCCCCGGAGGTGCGAGAATTATTCCTCTCATCACAGCTAATGTTTTCAGGGGTTTGCAGCCACAGTGAGATCACAATCCGGCCAGCTGCTCTGCACTAAATGGTTCCAGGGTCTGGCCCCAGGGAGGCTAACGCCTGCTTCTGTAAGGAGCCGGTGGCAGAGGCCTGAGTTCTGTGCCCCAGAGCAGCGGTTAGGGGGAGCCCCGGGCCTCTGTTGGTCAGGGCAGGCCTCACGGGCACACCGTCAGCACAGCGGTGGCGCCCTGTCTATGTGGGCCAATCGGAGCACTCTCAAGTAGGCTGACGGTTCCTTATAAGGATCCCCATGCCGGGGCAGAGCACGTTTCGCCAGTGTCAAACACCATCGGGTTCCCTCGGAGGGGCGGGAGTGTGAAGTCGTCAGGGTGTGTTCTGTATGTTCGTGGGGCAGCCAGGGCCAGGGCCTTCAGTCCAAAGGACAGTCAGAGGGACACACTGCAGTGCCACCCACAGGTGTCACCATGTGGCCAGACGTGGGTGACTACCAGCTGCGCCACCCTTCCGACACGAAGCGCAGAGACAGTTACTGTCACTCTGCCCCCTCCACGTCCCTCGGAATTCCCAGTCGGGCCGAGGCGGACAGCGAGGGAGCCGGGCCCTCCCGCAGCTGACACAGAACTAGCTCCGAAGACCCGGCTGGGCACGCTGCTTGGATCGGATCCTTGGGCAGCCTCGTGTGTGCTTCACCACCTCACCTGGGGGGCTGTCCGGCTTCACCCCTCACTGGCCCCTCCACGCGGAGGGCACGTTAGTAACAAACCTTCTTACCAGGGCAAGGATGGGGACGGGGTGTGTGGGTGCAGAGTTTTCCCGAGGAATTAGAGGACAGAGTCCAGAGTGACCTCAGGCTCTGAGCAGATGGGAGCCTCTGGCTCCCTTGCCCTGGACTACCAAGGAAGGCGCAGAATGACTGCTGGGCACAAGGGAGGCACCGGGAGAGGAGGGGCCGCACACAGGCCGTACACAGGCTCCTGCAGTCCTGAAGGCACCAGGTGGTAAACCAGTCTCAAGTCTGCCAGGGGAAGCGGGGCCAGGCTGAGACCTGGACACTGGGGCCGGAGGTGACAGATCTGCAGGGTAACAGGGCAGAGGGCAGCACGAAGCCATGACAGCAGCCAGAGGACACACAGGTGCCCCTGTGGGCACCTCCTGGGCATGCATGATGACGGCTCACTGCACTGAGTCCTGCTCATGCCTCGGCATGATGTGAGCCCCCCAGCACTCACACGTAACTCCAGGGAATGGGGCCAACCCCCAAACCGGTGGGAGCGAGTTTCTGCCTCTTCTACCGCCTGAAAGGTCCAGAAACGTCGGGCAAGTTTGATGGCGAGCACAGTTAAGTACTACCATGCTAACGCGGGGTGAATGTTTATCTGAGATGAGGGGGGATTAGAGGCTGAGGGCCGCGGCCGACAGGTGGCGTAGTGGGTAAGGCACTGGACCCCACAGGGCCCACCACACTTCGAGGCCTGGACCTGGCGGTTTTTCTTCTCTCTCTCCATCTCTCGGTCACTATGCTTCCACTGCGCCCTATGCCGTGCAGACAGAAACTCCTCGGAGTTACTTAGCACACGGCTCAGGAGCTAAGGTGTGAGCACTGCTTCTCAAGGTGCCTGCTTCCCTGCTCCCCACGCTTGCCGCTCCCCTCCCTCGCCGCTCCCCTCCTCCTGCAGTGAACAGGACTTCTACCAAGGCCCCTCCTTCCAAGAGGTTAGCTGAGATTGAGCGGCTCGGCCCGGTCCAGGAGCCGGTATTCTCCTCTGCTCCCCGGTCTCGGGGGGCGGGGGGTGTTTCTGATCTGGCCACGTTGCCCCTCACAGTGCCCTGGCTTATAAAATGATATGACGAGTGGGCACACACACAGGCAGCAGTGAGTGAAGAGAGTGACTGTCGCTCGGACCAGGAGCTAAGGCTTCCACGTCGGATTCACGCCTCTCGCAAAGCCTGCTCTTCCTTCCCCCCTTTCTGGGTTGCATTTCCTGGGGTTCCGTGTCGGCGGTTGCAAGCCCACTCTCCTCCCTCCATGGCAGTCATCCTGTCACTCGGCTGAAGTGGCGCTGGGGAACAGCTCCTGGCCAGTCACCACTGAGACCTTTCTCTCGGCCCTGAGTTGCCAAGAACCAGGCTGCCAGGCCTGGCAGCAAGGGAGTGGGCACCAGAGGAGAGGCTTTGGAACATGCCTATAATCCTGGCTTTGGCACCCGGCCTCGGCTGGGGAACAGCTGGATGGCAAGAGGCCAGGCATAAACATCTGCCTTCTCCAAGCGCTAGTACCAAGCATCTTCGCTAATGCTATTATTACAGAATTACCAATATTTTACAAGTGTCATCACTTCCTGAAAAGACGGTTAAT